GCCAGAATGTCGCAGGGGTCCCCGACCCCGTGGGGGAAGACCTCGAACACGCTGGAGGAAGAATGAGGTGGAAGAAGAGATGGCTCTGACCTCCAGTTAGGACCCTGATCTCTCCACCGACTTTCGTTGTGGTCCTCAAACGTGGTCCTCAATCAGATTTGGTCCTGGGCCAGGTCCACCTGTCCAGGCTGGCAGAAGTCCACAGATGGACGCCCCCCCTCCCCAGGGAAGGGTAGGCTCAGGCCCCCTGCCGACTAACCCCTGCTCCTCTTTCCCATGATGGCTGAGGATTATCTATCTTTTCCATTAATTGTGAGGAGCATCAAGGATTGTGTCTAGGAGAGGGGACTGTGCTGACCCTTTCTTTCCACTCAGCAGAGTGATGGTGTACATGCTTCAGCTGGAGTGCGAACTTCCCCCGCTGAGGTGGTATCACTCATTAGTCCACCCAGTGGACCCACCGGTCTCTCTTACTGGTTCTGGGGGTTGGTGATTGCAAGTCCGCAGGGGATCGCGGTTTCTTATTCAGGGGAGGTTCGATTCGCTGTTGACCGTTCCGTCCATGAAGCTTCGCTATGTGGCCGCCTATTTGGTCATAGACGGTTCGTGGGTGTGGAGAGTCCCGTTAGGCCTCATCAATACGTAGTACGCGCCCCCGGAGAAGATCGCGGCGGCTGGAACTTTTTTCCAAACCCTGCTGGTCAGCAACTCGCCACGACCAGGAGAATCAGTAGTACTCGGCGGTGGATTTTTAACTGTCCGATAGAGGAGGATGGGGCGCAGCTACTGCATGTTACGCAAAACTCGACACCAACCTCGAAGCTGCTCCGGGAGATGATTGCGGAGGCTTCCCTGTCGAGACCGCAGTGGGATCCGTGGGGCGCGGTTCGTCCGGAATTAATCAGTTGGAAGCCGCTCCCGATGGATCTGTGCGCTCCAGGATTGACTTTGGTGCTCTCACCTCCAGGGGCAGTCAGGCACCGCGGGATCTCCATGGTTCCCCTGCTTTTTTCTCTGTCCAACAGGGCCATTTCACTTTCAAGGTACTCTGCGGAGAGGGCTTTGCCCCGGGCACCAGGCTCCTGGGAAGCTGAATTGCGACCCTGCTGAGACGATGAGGAACTGCTAGAGGAGATCAGGGAAGACCAACGGTGCACTGGCGAGAGGAGAAGTCTTTCTCTTCCTAAGGTAGCGACTGGTGGGGAGTTCGTGAAAGTCAAGCGCGCAGCTTCTTCCAGGCCAGGGGACGCCAGCAAGTGTGTTGCCAGGAGGTAAGGAACTCAGGAGGCTGCAGTGTCAGATGCAAGTCCCTGCAGGTCATTCATCACTGTGGCTGGGACGTGAAGGCAAGATCTGGCGGACACCAAGAAGTGCTAGAAAAAGCACTTTGAGGGAAAAGAATCCCAGGCAGCATTGTCTTCCGTGCCAAGGGTGGAGCATCTCGAGAAAGGTGAGAAGTGTAACTCGTTCTCTTTTCAGGAAACTCACTCCCATAGATACTATAGAGACTCACAAACCTATTACAGGACTCACACTCAGATCCACACGCCTGCCGTCGACCATATGCACCCCGTGACAAAACCACCTCCTTCGACCCTCCATCCACACCCCTGTAACTCCCCAAGCCGACCATATAACGCGCGGATCGCCGAGGACACGTGCCTCCAATGCGTCCAGTGGTCACACTCTGCCGCACTACATCCTCTAATATCTACTCGCTCACCCTCTACTCCCAACTCCATTGAAGACACTCAACTCTCGGAAGCGGCCCCCGAACCCAGCCCGCTCTTCTTGTCAGGCTACCTCCTCTCAACAACGCTAGTTGATCACTGCATGGTTTGTATCCCGGCCACCATACGCCCCCGTTGACGTTGGAGGAACTGCACTCTGACTGCCGCTATAAGATCCTTTAGGCAAGGGCAGGGACCCCGGGCTGCGACGGGTCCCTCCCTTCCACCGCGGAGCTCTATGTAGCGCTGTGGGACCTCGTGGGGCCCGGACCTGCTCGAGACTGTACGAGGAGATGGCTGGGTAGCGATGGGCAAGATGCCTCCTTCGTTGAGGGAGGGGATGATCACGATCCTGTACAAGCGTAAGGGGGAGAGAGATGTGATTTGAAAAATTGGCGTCCCATCTCTCTCCTGAACGTGGACTACAAGATCCTCGCCAAAGTCATGGCGAACAGGCTGAAGGCTGTCATCGGACAGATCATCAACCCGGATCAGACCTTGTGGCATTCCTGCCGCAGGATTGCGGACAGCCTAGCGCTTGTCCGGGACACGGTCCAATACATCAAGGACCGCCGTGTGCACGCGGCCCTGGTCAGTCTTGATCAGGAAAAGGCCTTTGACCGTGTCTCCCATGGGTTTATGTGCAGAGCCCTGCGCAGGTTTGGTCTTGGGGAATAGTTTTGTTCATATGTTGACATCATGTACAATGACATTTGTAGTTCTGTGCAGGTGAACGGCTGGAAGACTGACCCCTTCCCGGTCCCTCCGGGGTCAGACAAGGCTGTCCTCTCTCACCTCTGCTTTTTGTTTGCTGTATAGAGCTCTTCGCCGAATGCATCAGACGGAATCCAGAGATTGGGGGAATCACCGCACCGGGACCAGACAGACGGGAAGTGAAGTGCTCGCTCTACATGGACGACGTGACGGTGTTCTGTGCCAACCAGCGCTCCATCGACCTGCTCGTCCAGACCTGCGAGGACTTCGGCAAGCTTCGGGGGCAAAGGTCAACTGCGGGAAGTCGGAAGTCATGCTCTTCGAAAGTGGTTCCTGCCTTCTTCTGCATCCATGCCCTTTGGCATCAAGACAGACTTCATGAAGGTTTTTGGGAGTTTGGTTTGGTGCCGAGGGCGCAGCCCTGAAGTCTTGGGAGGAGAGACTGGCCAGATGCGCCAAAAGTTTGGACTCTGGGAGCCTCAGAGACCTCACCATCGAAGGGAAGACACTGGTACTTCCGCAGCGAGATTCTCCCTGTGTTGCAGTACCTTCGCCCAGGCCTGGCCCCCTCGGGTCAACACCTGCAAGGCCATCACCAGGGCGGTGTTTCACTTCATCTGGGGCTCCAAGATGGACAGAGTGAAGCGGGCAGTCATGTTCAAGGAACCCCTCAAGGGCGGTAAGGCGTGCCCGACATCTGGCCACCCAGCTGAGGGTGTTCTTTGCTTGCAACTGCATCCGCAGAACTTTGCCAAGACGGACTATGGACTCTGGCGGGAACGCAATGTCTCGCTTCTTCCTGTTGCCCTCTCTGGAGGTCCCTGGGGTGGGACACTTGGATAGTTCCATCCCCTACAACTGGGACACTCCTTGGTACTACTTGGATACTTTCAAGTTCATCAGGGAGCAAGGGCTACAGGGAGTCAAGCCTGACTTGTGGAAGCCAAAGACTATCTACAAGCTCATCCGAGCCAGCGACATTTTTTGGAGTCGGTTCCAGGCCTGCCTTCGGACACCTGCAAGGTGGTCTGGAGGAATGTTTCTTCAAACATCCTCACCAACAGGCACAAAGACCTGGCATGGATGGCTATCCAGGGGGGACTGCCTCTCAGGACATTTATGCATGCCAGGAACCTGAGCAGATACAGACACTGCCCCCTTCTGCTGCATCATCCATGAGGAAACGTCTTACCACGTTTTTCTGGGAGTGCTCATTTGCTCAGGCCCTGTTGGGGGCCCTGGAACCTGAACTCAAGGACTTTGTGCCACAGACAGCCATCACTCACTTTGGGGTGTTGAATGGACTGTTCTGTGGAACCTTTTCTCTGGAGGACATTGACAGCGCCTGGCGGGTGCTGTGCTGTTTTAAGGACGCTTTTGTGGTGCGCCAGAAAGCGCCTCACCCTCCAGCGGGAGAGGATGTCCATTGAGGACTGCCGCAGACTGACCCTCAGTCTGCTCAGAGACTATTCCTTGATGGACTTTAAGGAGGAAGAGGAACGTCTGAAGATTTCCCCCTTCCCCCTACTCCCCCTTGCGTGTCTTTGTCTCCTTCAATAAAGCTTCGGGCCTGTGTTTCCCCCTTCCTCCCCCTCCCCACCCGATGCCTATTGTTGACCGTGTTTTTTCAGTTATCGTTATCGTGCATGACATAGTGACTAGGAAATGTATATTGTATTAGGATGCTACAGTTTTTGGGGTAAGCGGCGTCATGCATGACGTGGTGGTCCGGGGGATTCATCCTCCGCGCACATCACGTCAGGCATCATACCGCTGAGCGAATGTATTTATTTGCCTGACTGTATTTATCGTATGCTTGGAACTGTATTGCTATGTGGTGCGCTGCGTCGCAGTACAGGGTGAGATGTACCCCGATTACACGTAACATGTTGTTTTTGATGCTTCTGCAATAAAAGTATCTTTTCAATCAAAAAAAATAGGATCCCCCTTCAAGCAGCAATTTGTCACCCTTGTTGATAAATACATCAGCATTCCCATGGCAATAAGGATAGTCTACGTCTAAGCACACAAACAGCCTGCCATGTATGCAAATAAATCTATAACACCTCTTCTATTGCAGGGATAGGGTGTATACATTGGTTAACACATAGGATAGGCTCATCTTGGAAAGCAACTTATCTCTACATTGATAAGGACAGTGGCTTCCTTCCCAAAACCCTGACCAGGTGGTTATAGGGGTATGTGGATGGGGGGCTTCTTGAAATCTGGAAGCCTCCATGTAAATATGTAGTACCTGTACGCAATCACAAAATATAAATGGATTGTCACTTAATGAACAAAAAAACACATTAAAGAAACTGCAGAAAAGTCCCATGATGTAAATCCATCATCAATCACATTGTCTAGTGATGCATATCAAAATGAATGGGGCCTGCCAAACCTCAGAAATAATTAAAAACACTGACAGGCTGACATGTCACTCTCTCACCCTGAATGACAGCTTCCTGAGCTGTAATCTGGAGTGTTAACCACTTGCCCTCCAGAGGATTTTACTCCCCTTCCTGACCAGGCCATTTTTTGCAATACAGCACTGCATTACTGTAGCCCCCCTGGCGGTATTCCCGAGTGTAGCTCGGGGTAAAGTTTCAGCACCACAAGCGGTAACCCCGAGCTACACTCGGGGCTTACCATGCGGCGCTGCTCCGGGATTCCTCGATCACTTACCTTGTCCTGCTCTCCCGCAATGTCCCTCCTGCAGTGTCCCCCGGAAATGTAATCCGGTGGATTCCGTCCCCTGCGAGCGTCGGGACGTATGGGGGACGGAACGGCGGGAAATTTGAAAATTACAAAAAGTTACATTCACTAAAATCACATAGTAAAACATTACTGTATCAAACCATTTCACATACATTTTGTCCCTAGTGCTTTGTCCTGTGCCCTGCCTACATTTTTACTGTTCTTTCTCTGCCTGGAAACTGAGAAATGTCCATGGCGTCCAAAAAGCATCCCTTTAGGTCAAAAGCGGATTTTTAGACCAGCTAGAGAACAGCGATAGTAAATTAGAACTACTTGCAGAATTGAGTGATAATGATTCGTGGGGAAATTCGTCATCAGACACTGAAAACGATTCTGGCGCTATATTTCAAATTTCAGTGTTTTTGGTTTGATTATAATATTGAATTAAATTTATTATTATTATATTATTATTTGTTATGATTATTTTATTAAATTATAATTTATGATTTCGCCTTTCAAATTTTAACATACCCGGGATGTTTACTAGAGTCTTGTTCGCACAATTGCACAGTCATGCAACACTGCGCTATAAAAAAATTAAAAAAAATTTGAGTAAAACAATTTTGAGAAAAAAACAATATTTTTGACTTTTTCCTATTAAACATGTCGCAGTAAAGAAATTAAAAAAATCAAATTTCACCATAAATTTAGGCCAAAATGTATTCTGCACATGTCTTTGCTAAAAAAAATCCCAATACGTGTAAATAATTGGTTTATGTGAAAGTTATAGTGTTTACAAATGGGAGTATAGTTTCTGAATTTTTTTTTTACTAGTAATGGTGTCAATCAGCAACTTATAGCAGGACTGCGGCCGGCATTCTGACACTGGGGGGAACTGACTTGGTGTCACTGACATCCCCAGTGACACCAATACAGTGATCAGTGCTAATAAAAAGCACTGACACTGTACTAATGGCACTGGGCAGGAAGGGGTTAACATGTGGGGTGATCAAAGGGTTAACTACGGGTGTACTATGTGCTGTTTCACAGTAAGCTGTGTCTGTGCTTTCAACTGTAAACACATTGCGTTGTATGCTCTGCTAGATCCAGTGATGTTATTTGTCTAATATGGCCTTTGGCCATTTATATACATGATTCATTTTGTGGGATTCCCCAGTTTTTTTACTCAAGATTTTGTTATTTGATACCCAAATACCCACCCAACCCGTACTCTTTGCTCCTCACAAGACCTCCTACTTTCTAACTCCATGGTCTCCTCCTCCCACGCCCGACTGCAGGACTTCTCCAGGACTTCCCCCATCCTCCCCCACTATAATGTACAGCGCTGAGCAAACTTTTTGACGCTATATAAATACTGTATAATAATAATAATTGCTATGCAGAGCCATACAAAGCAGTGTACTGGAGCGGACAAGAGAGAGAACTGTATTGTATTGTTTACATACAGTTCTCTCCCCCCATCGGGAATACTCAGTAATCACTGGGTGTCAGCAAGTAATCACTAGCCGGGACCGGTGATTGACAGCCGAGGCCACAAATAGCACGCATGTGCCCCCTACCTGGTAATGCAAAATCATATATATATATATATATATATATATATATATATAATGTGTGTGATTTTGCGCACCCCTGCCACCCTGTAGCAGTATTTCTGCTAAAGGGCGGCGAAAAAAAAAAGGAATGTGCTAGATCCTGTGATGTTATTTCCTAATATAGCCTTTGGTCATTTATATACATGATTCATTTTGTGGGATTCCCCAGTTTTTACTCAAGATTTTGTTATTTGATACCCAAATACCACCCAACCCGTACTCTTTGCTCCTCACAAGACCTCCTACTTTCTAACTCCATGGTCTCCTCCTCCCACGCCCGACTGCAGGACTTCTCCAGGACTTCCCCCATCCTCCCCCACTATAATGTACAGCGCTGAGCAAAATTTTTGACGCTATATAAATACTGTATAATAATAATAATTGCTATGCAGAGCCATACAAAGCAGTGTACTGGAGCGGACAAGTGAGAGAACTGTATTGTATTGTTTACATACAGTTCTCTCCCCCCGTCGGGAATACTCAGTAATCACTGGGTGCCAGCAAGTAATCACCAGCCGGGACCCGGTGATTGACAGCCGAGGCTGCAAATAGCACGCATGTGCCCCCTACCTGGTAATGCAAAAATATATAAATATATATATATATATATATATATATATATATATATATATGTGTGTGTGTGATTTTGTGCACCCCTGCCACCCTGTAGCAGTATTTCTGCTATAGGACGGCGAAAAAAAAAGGATGTGCTAGATCCTGTGATGTTATTTCCTAATATAGCCTTTGGTCATTTATATACATGATTCATTTTGTGGGATTCCCCAGTTTTTACTCAAGATTTTGTTAACGTCCCTGGCGGTATTCCTGAGTGTAGCTCGGGGTAGCGTTTCAGTACCAAAAAGCGGTAACCCCGAGCTACACTCGGGCTTACCATGCAGCGTTGCATAGGGAGTCCCTGCAGTGCTTACCTTGTCCTTCGCTCCCGCGATACGTCCCCTGCAGCATCCCCGGCCATCTCCTCCAGCTGATGCCGGCATCCGGCTTCCATGTTCCGGTCCCTGTTCCGTACGGGCGCCGGAGCCGGCGGCAAATTTGAAATTTTTAAAAAAATGGCATTTTTTAAAAAATGATTATTACATAGTAAAACATTGCTGTTTCAAAACATTTCACATACATTTTGTTCCTACTGCTTTGTCCGGCGCCCTGCCTGCATTTTGACTGTTCTTTCTGCATGGAAACTTAGAGAAGTCCATGGTGTCCAAAAAGCGTCCCTTTACGTCAAAAGCGGTTTTAGACCGGCTAGAGAACAGCGATAGTAAATCAGAACCACTTGCAGAATTGAGTGATAATGATTCGTGGGGAAATTCGTCATCAGACACTGAAAATGTTTTTGAAACTTTGCTCAGCGATGTGCTAACTTGGCGCTCTATTTCAAATTTCAGTGTTTTTGGTTTGATTCAATTATTTAATTAAATTTATTATTATATTATTATTTTTTATGATTATTTATTAAATTATGATTTTGTGTTTCAAGTTTTATCATATCCGGAATGTTTACTAGACTCTTGTTCAGACAGATTTCAGTGAGTTATTCCTAAATTACAGGCCTACAATAAACAAAAATACATATTTCCATGCACAAAAATGGTACCACTTTCAGCACGAAAAATCTGAAAAATAATCATACCGCTAGGGAGGTTAATTGTCTTATATTTTGGGCTAAATTTAGGTTTAGTTAGAAACAAAAAAAGTCAACACAAGGGACATTACTTACAATCAGTGTGATTTGTCACTTGTTCTGCTGGCTGTTGCTTTAGTTTAAATCTTCTGTCCTCCAATGCTCTCCTACTCACATCTTCACAATCTTCCGATATGGTGGGCTTTAATAGAGCTAAGGGACTTACTACATGCACTCTCTAAGAGTGCAGACTATGCCATTTTTGACCACCTCCTAAGACAGGTGGATGAATGAAAGGTCTGTTTCCTCCATTTATTGGTCATGTTTCCTTCATCATGAAACCTTTTGGATATTTAGTTTAGATACAGTACATGGACATCCAGAGGTGGCTATAACGAATTTGAAAGAAGTATCACCTTTTCTTTATTTAGACCCATATTTTCTTTATTTAGATCCATATTTTAGTGCAGCGCCGAGTAGCAAAAAGAGGCCTGTCATTAAGGGGGGTAAATCCTCTGGAGGTCAAGTGGTTAAAGGGGAATCTACCACCTTTGCCATTGTTTACTTCAGCCCAAAGCGGAGTTGCGCTTTGACAATGAGCCCTACTGCCAGTTTTGTCACTTTATTTGCCTAAAGCTGCACTTTCTCCCAGTGCAAAAAAAGGGGACAACACCAAAGTCAAGTGCCATTTAAAGGGAAAGTACTTACCCTTCTTCCTCTCCTTGTGTTGATCCTTTAAGGAACTGCCACCTACATCACTTCCTATTTGTGCCCCAACTGGGCCCCAACGAGCACACAGAAGAATCCTCACTGTATTTAAAGGGGCATTGATTAACCTGGTCAAATAGCTCTTCCTATCTCAGAGCTAAAGCTTGCCATCAATTTCTGAGGGTCCAAAGTGAGGTAGTTCAACTGTTGCTGGTTTTCATTGCTCACTGTGGGATTGACAACACCTCAGGTTGGAGGTATTGGGTTAACTCCTGAAAAACAGGCCTGCTAGCAATGACTGAGATTCTGAGATTGTATGTATAGTTTCTTGCTTAGAGTTGCTAAGGGTAAGAATTGTCATTGCACGTACCAAACCATTTTGTACTGTTTAACCAAGCTTACATTGAAGTTTAATATAAACCTCAAATCAATTTACTCTAATGTGTGTGTGAGTCTACTTCCTGGTGGTAATTTACTCTGGTCAAAAGAATTCTGTGGTGTCAGCAGGGTTTGGGCTTTGAGAAACTGGGTAAATTGGTCAATTGGTCAGACAGTATATTAGATGTATAAGTGAGCATAGTAAATAATGCAGAGATATCTGAATTAGTAAAGTCCTTGAATTCAAATTTACTCAAAGTAGTATGCAGGTATCCACAATGCACCCAGCCAAATGCTTTGTCTGCAACTAGTGTTAGAATAATGGAAGGCAGCTTGCAAAATTTAACAAATCTTAAAAGATTAAGCATTCTCCTGGTGTCTTCAGGGGCCTGTCTGTCCTTAACAAAACCCACCTGATCCACTTTAATGAGAGACTGACTTCAGCTAGTCGAATAGCCAGAACTTTTGCATAGATCTTTATATTCATAAAAAAGAGTGATATAGTCCTAAACTTTCAAGGGCAATTGGGCTCCTTCCCTGGTTTAGGCCCTGGCTACAATAATTTCCTACAGCATTTCCTGCAGGGAAAAGGCAGGGCATGCATATTCTTTTTCACTGGTTATGAGATAAGGCTCTAGCTCATTTATAATAGCTTTATAGTATTTGGCTGAAAAGCTGTCCACCCCTGGAGATTTATTTGGGGGAAGTGATTTGATCACTTTCCTCACCTTGGCATCTGTTATAGGAGCATTTAGAGAATTCAGAAGGTGGGATTCCACCTTGGGAACGGTTAAAATTCTAAAGATCTGTAGGCTGTGTCATCACACAGATTGT